ATCCTCCTTTATCTTCTCTGCCTCTTGCCACCTTAGGTGAGAACACTCTAATATGAGCCTTCAAATGGATCGGGGGTTTTCTTTGCTGGGCCCTTTTGGAGCTCAGGGGCAGCCTTCTCCCTAACTACCTTGGAGGCAGTCGCAGGCTTCTTAGCACTTGGGCCTTCCCCAAGCTCACCACCATTGCACTTGAGGACTAGGTGTGAGGCACCTTGCCTAAGCGTCCCAACAGTATCAGCGTGCTGCTTCTTCGTTGAAGTGATCGACGGTTTCTTGGCAACCCCAGGCGCTGTTGTCTTTTTCTTTAAGCCCTTGTGTTTTTCGGCCCACATATATGCGAAGGAGAAGGAAATAGTCAGCAACCTAATAGAGCAAAAAAAAAGCAAGCAAGCGAGCACTTACCTTTCTCAAGAATGGTGTTGAATTTGGTGTCGCTGGCACAAAAATCATACTCTCTCAACCGAGAAAGTGTGATAAGCTTGGTAATGTTGTGCTCGTTGTTAGAGAGATTACTATAACACTAAAGCCGCTCCAAGCTCATTTCAGGAAGAAATTTTTGCTCGATGTATACTACAAAGCTTGAAAATTCAGCGACCTATCCACAATTTGCTTTCAATTTAGGCACCTAGGGTAGCCCATGTCGGACAACAGACACAAGCGAGCTACCAGGATTCTGGCTATTGCCACCGTAAACCCTCCTTAAACCCAAAACCGGCGGAAACACACTCAAAAAACCCTAAAAAGCATTATATGGCCATGGAAATGGCCACCCTCAACCACAAAAAGGTGTACAAACAAGTAAATAAGGACAAAGAAGCCTTACCAAAGTGAAAGATGGAAAAAACTCGCTAGAAAAGCGTCGTGAAATCGAAAGAGCAGTAACTGAGTAAGCAAAGAAATCTGGAAACTTTTGCAATGTCTGTAGGAATTCTGATGAAGTTGCCCGCTTTTATAGAGGTTGCATGGAAGACGAAGGGGCGGGATTTGACTGTAGCTGTCAATCTACAGTGAATCTCAACCCTCTATTTGGCGAGCAATCTTGGCCATTGGACGTGGCCACGTGTCAATCACCCACGAGGGTCGATCAATCGTCAAATTGCCATAATCATAGTCATCATCGCACATTGCCTCCACTTCCCGCATGGACAGTTATAGTCGCCCATGCGCGACGAAAAGTAATTGCCAAAGGCTACTGCATTTAATGTGACATGACCATGTGGAATTTACACATATACCCTTCATTTAAATTCCAAGTTTGTCAAGAATATCATAGCAAAAGAAAAACCAAGTGTTGAGTACGTTGACCGAAGGTGAGTTCGACTCACGAAGCTTGGTCAAATCTGTATTCAATACACAACCGACGAAGTCTGAGCTTGATTTCAAATCGAGCAATAGTCTTCGAAGCTCAAAAGAGCACCGAACATTAAGGGGTAGATGTTGTATGTGATTTTTCCATCAAGCTCGGGAAGTCAGAGGTCAGCAAGGTTATAACTTGATTTAGAATCAGTTCAACTGAATCAATTGTTCAACCCTAACATAAACTAGCCGCAACCAATCTCGACAATTGTTCAATCAGCTCACAAATAACTTCAGATCCCGGATATCTCAGAAGAGATCAAATCGACAACAATCTTGGTGCAATCTCAGCGCTCAACCGCGAGAATATCGGAGTTGCATTTTAATCTTAATTGTAATCCCTTTATTTTCGCTCTTTCCTTTGTACAAAATCTGCATATAAACCCCCTCCAACGATGAGAAAGGAGTAAGCAAATTGTCCTAGGATTATTATTGTAAGCTCTCACAACAAATACAAAAACAGTGGACGTAGGCTCAAGAGTATAACTCACCAAATCACTTTTAAAACTCTTTGTGTCATTTAGTTTACTTAATTTGATTCATTACATTGTTGGTTATCCATAATCATACACACATCGGTTCCGATTCCATCAAGGTTAATCGAATCGCTTTAGTTGGTGTAAAATCTTGTATGAACACCAATTACAAATTTGTATTTGTCAAAGTAAAAGATAAAATCTTTATTTTTTGTCAGAAATTTAAATGGGAAAGTAAATTTATTTGGTGGCGTAAAATTTTGGGAGAGAATCTTGGTCACTAAGGAATAACCTTCATCAGGAAAAAAAAATTTGTGTGGTTTTAATTACATATTCACAATTTGAGTTTAAGAGGGAAAGTAAATATATTTTTTCTCAATTAGAAAACTCAAAAACGTTAAGTTCCTGTAATTTTCCTAATTATTTAAATATCCCGTTTCAATTTCATTGTGTTTTAATGTTATATATAATGTCCATATTATTTCACAACTGAAATTATCGGTTTTCATTTTCGCTTCTGCAATTTCTGAACATAATAGGTAACCGTTAGCTACTTTTTTATTGGATTTTATATTCTCATTCATTTGAAAACTCTCATTGTTATTATTATTATTATTATTTTTAGCTTATTGTTTTGGTTTCAGAAAAGCAATAATGGACTGGGAAACAGCATTGGATTTGTTTGTTCATGGTGATGGTGATGGCGAGTATGAACCTCCAGCAATTCCTAAGGTGGAAGGCTTGAAAGGGATTATCGAACATAGCATTTGCAGCGACCCTTTTGAGAAGCAGCTGACAAATAGTGACTTGAGCCTGAGTCAACGTGGATTGTTACTATGCAAATCTGACGTGGAAGAATGTTTGCTTCCTCTGTTGAATGACGATGAGGATATTCGTGGAGGAATTCCAGTAATTACATATAATATGGATGGGAAGAAGTACCGCATGGTTTTCCAACTTCGGATTTCCAGAAATTTTTATGTTCTTGGCGACGACGGATGGATACAGTTTCAGCGGGAAAATGACCTTGAAGTTGAAGATTTTGTAACAATATGGATGTTTCGCCATGTTAGGACTAAAAATCTTTGCTTCGTTATTGCTAGATCGGCCTACTTCATCAGGAACTAGAAAGTTAAAAGATTTGAGAAGTTAGATTAGATTATTAGTTGAGTTCATTTACTTTAAGTGGTGCTTATTGAAATATTTGATATGATTCTAAATATTTATTTCTTTTAATAATAGACGATAATTATTATTTTGGTAACTTTGATGGCATTGTCAAATCAGATTATTAAATTTAAAATACACTGGAAAACCTTAAAAAACATAAATATTCTTAAACCAATAGTTAAACAAATAAATCTCGATTAAAAACATAAAAAAGTATGCAAGTTATAAATTGGAATTCTAATGACAGTGCCAACTTTGCTATTAGAGATGACCATTACAGCTTTTACCCGACCTAGGTCCCAGAGATTAGTTGAGGTATCGAACACTCCTAATCATAAAAAAAAAAAAAGAAAAAAAAAAGAAACTTTATTATTTCTTTCAATTTTTTATTTTCATAATTGGTTTTTATAATTATTTTCATTAAACATTGAATAGAAGGTAAAATTATATTAGTTTTACAAACTTATTTTGGTTATTGATGTAATAGATAATTAACAAAATTTATAACCCATGATTCTTATTAAAGAGAATTAGGATAATCTTCGGACTTGAATTTTCTTGAGCTTCCAAGGATCGATTTATTTGTTATATTACTATTATGTAATTAACAATTTGAGTTTAAGAGGGAAAATAAATAAATAAATATATATTATCTTCAATTAACGAGATTGATATTAGAAAACACAGAGAGCCTATTTGATTCCAATAGAATAACTTTTATTTTCCTAATTATTAACACATTTATGATTTTCCCATTTATTTCCTTTTCGTTGACGAATTTAATTATAAAAATAAAGTGGATATTTTTGTTATTATAATTAGTTTATGAGGAAGATGTGTTTGTTTAAAAATCTAATTGAATAGCCGATTAATGAGATTGGTATTACAAAACAGTAAACAAGGGTTTGATTCCAACCAAACTTGCCTGAGACAATTTTTTATTTTTCCTTTTCTTTAACCAATTAATTTGGATGATATAAATAATGTCTTTTTTATTTCTTAACTCTCTTCTCTGCTCTTGGTGTTATTCTGAACCTTCAAGGTTAGTGTTACTGTCTCAAATGAGTAAAATATATATTTATATATCATATAATTATTAGACTAACACTAAAAACTGTTGGTGGTAATCAAATATATATTTATGTTTTTCTGCTCGAAATATATAAACTTAGAAAAATTGGCCTTGAATTTGTTATTGTTTAAGGTTCTATTCTATTTTAATGAGGGTATTTGAAAGGTTGATCGAAATTTAAACCAAAGGGTGGCAAAATGTTGTTGGTTGTAATGATTAAACCATCAACTAATATGATTTAGTTTTGATGTAATCTTGGTTTTTGCAGAGGAAACAAACCATGGACAATGATTCTCATCAAGAGTTGAAAGCTGCTCTTACTCTTGTTCGCATGAAGAAACAAAAACTCGACAATCAAACCGCAGTTGCTTTGAATAATTTGATCAAACCCAACGCCAACTCAGGTGACTGTTATCAGCCCCCAACAATTCCTCAAGTCCCATGCTTGAGACGACTTGTTCAAAATTCCATTTTCACCAAGCCCTTTGAAAAGCTACTCACAATAACCGATTTTAGACCCGATCAAAGCCGATTGTCATTGAACAAAACCCATGTCCAACAATGTCTAGTTTCGATGTTGACTGAAGATGAGAATCTTACTCTAGGAATTCCAGTAACCACATATAATATCAACGGGAAGCCTTACCCCATGATATTTAAACTTTGGTGTTCCAAATTTTATGTTCTTACCAGTGGATGGACAGAGTTTCAGCAAGAAAATAAGCTTACAGCTGGAGAAGATTTTATAACAATATGGATGTTTCGCCATGTCGAGACTGGAAAACTTTGCTTCGTCATCACTTCTAGGAAATCCGCACAGCTTCCACAACCATTCAAGACTAGAAAGTTAAGGATTAATTGAGAACTGATTCATTACTGGATTTTAGAGATATTTTTGTTTTAATTAACTAATCTATCCTATGAAGACGACATTCCAAATTTATTGCCAAAGAAGCTAAATTTTATACAGTTGAAACCATATGTACCCAAATGCTTGATAATATTTATCTGTTGAAATGTTTAATGTTGTAATGCAAAGGCTCATTAAGCTTGTTTTTGTGTTCAATCTTTGTTTTTTGCCTTCTCTTTCTGAAGCAAGTAATTTTGCTCGGCTTCAGGAACTGCTAGCATTATCGTGTGCAGTTTGAGATTCATTTCTTCAACTTTTTCCATAAGTCTGTCATTTGTAAACAAGCCGAGGCAAACACTTTGGATGGTTTCCCAACTTTCAATTAATGGCAAAGCTATAATCACTGCTGATCCAATTGTGCCCCATGCTATGGCTACCACCGCCCAGAATTTGAAATATCCCAAACTGAATTTCCCTACATTACGAGATAGTGAGAAAATTTCAACTCAAAGAGGGGATTAATTGCAGATTGCTAATGAAATTGACATTTACCTGCTGGAAGAGAGAGAATAGGCCACAATATGACAATCACAATAGTGAAACCAACACCCCATTTCACTATCCATGATTTTGCTTTTATTAGTTTTTCCTCATTGAACTCTTCTTCTGGTAGCTCACTTTTCTCTTTTTCAACCACTGTGATCTGCTTAGTGGTATCCCAGTCATAATTTTGAGGCCATAAAAGACTACACACTGTGTGAACAGCTCCTCCGGTGAGTATGGAAACAACGTTTCCGGCAAGCATCGGGGCATTTCTGCCAGTAGTGTCAAGGTTTATTCTGCCATATTCAACTGCTGTGACCGATAACCACGTTACAATGCCAAGAACGCAACCAGAAATCGTTCCAGCAATGGCTCCGATTGCATTCGCCTTCCTCCATAGAAGCATGAAAGCTATTGGGAGGACTGCTGAACCGATAAGCACTCCCATCGCAAGATACATCCAACCCAATGAAACTCCAGCTTTGTTCAGAATCACTGCTAACAAGCCCATGAAACAACCAAAGCCTAATACAACTCCTCTTGAAACTTTGAGAATCTTTTTCCCACTTGCTTCTGGATTTATGTAAGTGCGGTAGATATCATATGTGCATAAAGAGGAAACTGCAATTAGCTCAGAGGAGCCAGCAGATGTCACTGCCCTGCTCATTAATATCAGAAAAATTTGAATTTAAAAAAAGATTTCACAGTTGGCAGTTGGTTCCAATTTCAATCTAGGTAATATAAACTTCTAACTTACATGAAAAGCATAGTAAGAAGAAGAATTGATCCGCCTTTTCCCATCAAAGCAATAGCAGTAGCAGGAGGAACAAGTCCATGGCCCGCCTCACTTGCTGTTATTGGTAAATCAAGTGCAAGAGCTCCCAGACCAAGCGCTGTTGCCAAAGAGAATGGCACTGCAAACCACACCAGTCCACCCAACAAGTAGCCCTTGTGTGTTGATGAAGGCCTTGCAGCAATAGCACTCACCCAATATCCCTAAACATTTCCATTTTGAGTTTTAGATATACATAATTGATGGTGTGTTTTTTTATATTCAGTAATGGAAGAGCAGGGAGTTGCAACTATGACACCAAATCAATGGTACTGAAGCTTACATTATCAAAAAAAACAGTGCCGAAGTTGCCGACGATGTTTATGATTCCAAACACAAGCCCTCCAGAACTCAACATTGTTAAGTAAGAGCCTTTGTAATTTCCATTAACAGGGCCACAGGATTGCCCATCATGGGAAAATGGCTCTTGACATATCCTTGACTTGCTTGCAACCTCCAGTAGGTGGTTGTATACCACACTGGGACTACCGAGCTCACTGCTCGCCGTGTAAACTAGGTACACAAAGATGACTAATACCACATGAACTGAAACCAATCTTGCAACAAAATTAACTATCAAACTTGTAAGAATTTGTATAGATGAAATGTTGTATGGCTAATATGTATATAGAAAGGAAGAGATTGAAAGAAATTTGAGAATACCTATTACAGAGTGAATATAGCTTGCCAAGAAGGTGGCTTTGAGTCCTCCTGCAAGAGCGTAGACAATGACTCCCAGCGGTATTAGAAAGCTGGCAGCGTAAATGTTTACTCCAGTAAGAGCATTTACAACAGCAGAACCGCCAAGGAGCAGCATGGCGGTCACTATGATATTTGTCAAGAAGCAGAAACCAAGAAAAACAAGATGTGCAGGAGTCCCCCAACTGGATTAAAGAGGAAGATTGTAATACTACATCTATATGTTTATAAAAATATGAACTTTTAGTGGCAGATTATAACATACCGGGCTTTGACAATTTCACAAACAGTATGAGCATAGGGAGCCTTTCTTTTAATCTCTATGGCCATTATACCAAACAGAAGTACCTGTTGATTTGCATACAGCAAAATTTAAGTACCCAAATCTTCAAAGTAAAGTATTTTTGAGTAAAAGATTCAAAACATGCCTGGATGGTGGCTCCACTTGCATACCAGAAAGGTCCACTTACTCCATACTCCCAAGCAACATTGGAACTTTGCAAAATTGTAGCAGCCCATGTCCACTGTACAAATGAATTCAACATTAAGATGAATTTAAAATCCATCTAAATTTACATAAGCAGTTGCAAGATGGAAAACGTTACCTGGGATACAATCACACTAGCAATTAGCCCAGTTTTAACATTCCTGCCTGCAGTGTTGAACCATTCAGATGTGTGGCGAGACCCCACATATCGCTTCTCTAGCCAAACCTGTTAATTCCAGAGTTTGAACAGTTAACAACCAACATGAATTTGTGCTAGAATGAAGACTGAAGATGCCAATCCTACAATGATGGTCCAAACCTTCCAATGTATTGCTATTAAAAGAATTTTAGACTTGCACTTAAACATGCTTGGTTTGTAATGTGAAACATCAAATTTCTTGGAAGTCAGTCTCCCCTTTGGCTAAAATATTGTTTTTAATTTCACATTACGTTCCATTTACTTAACAAACCCCAGTTTTTTTTTTTTAAATTTTGAAGTGAATACTGAATAGTAACATGATAGGATGTTTAAACAGTGAGTAAAACAATATTGAAGAAAGAAAAACAAATCAGGAAAGGGAGGCAAATGAAAAGACATACCAGAAGGAGATGAAGACCGCAAAGAAAGCGCCAAAACCAAGAATAACAGAGTAGCCAACGCCCTGATTCAACACAGTTTTTCCTTGGAAGAAACTGCTCTGTCTCACACATCCTGTTAGATCTTCGGAAACATGGTAATATTTTCCCGAGAAAGTAAGAGGTGGGCACTGAGAACCCATCTTCCAATTCCTTCAGTTTCTTCTGAGCTCTCTTCAGTCTTCACTCAGTTAACCACCATCTCTTTCTGTAACAAAATCCAAACGACTAATACGGATATACAGAGGCTAAATTTTCTTGTTGTAAAGATACCAAATTAAGAGTTATGACCAACTCTTTGCCTGCCAAAGAATCTCCTTGGCCGAGGAATCTCTTGGTGACGCATCATTACCCATTATTTTAACATAGTATTTTGTCTAGCTTGAAGGAGTTCGATGTAATTTGAGTGGTTTGATTTGACAGGTGAACAAGAAGTGAGGCTGCCATTGGTGCTTGGAGTGTCTGATTATTGAAGCTGGGTTGGTGACTTGGCGTATTATTTTGACTTGATGCTTCCCAAGTCAATTATTCTGCTCGAAAAGGAATTTCCATTTTTCTTCATTTTTTTCTTTCTATTGGGACATTTAGAAAGAAATGTGTAAAAGCTTGTGTAAGGAGAAGAAAATGCAGAGTGAAAGTGATAACAGTCGATGGAAAAAGCTATTATTTTTTAGGTCAAATAGTGTTTGGGTTTGAAAATTAATTCCTAATTTGGCTCTAGTGATCATAAGATGAGTTCGAGTATGGAAGGTTTCCCACCAAAATTAATTTTGAAAGAAGCTGGGCATGGCCAAATAATTTGATGATGTGTGCGGGGCCAAAAGACTTAACATAGAAATATAATGCACTTGCTGTTTTCTTAAGGTGTGAACCCAAATTATGGTTATGAGGAGTGATTCAAAGTCAAGGGCGTGGGGCCACGTCTTGTTGATTTTTTTTATCTTTTTTTATGGTTAACTCCCTTGTGGTTTGCCTAAATCCATATAACTCTATGTAAAGCTTGTTTCAGGGAATTTTCTATTACTGAAAAAATAAGATTACTTTCAAGATTAATGAAGAAATGTTATACTAATATGTATAGTTAGATAAATCAATATAAATAATTAATATATTTAGTTAGGGAAAATAAAATATTATCGAAAGAGTTTTACTGAATTGTCCTTCCATATTAATATTAATACTATTATATTATTATTATTTAGAACATTCTATTTAACCCCCTCACATTTTGAGAATTTAGCTAAAACACCCCAACAACAAAAGTTTAAAATTTAATAAAATACACCTAACCGCCCAAGATAACTGCTAGCTACCAACCACCACCGTTGGATGTCGCCGACAGTCGTCGAAACTAGTGCGTGCTTTCACAAACATGCATATGTAGCAAGTGCACTAGTCGCAAAAAGTAATAAAATGATCAGTAAAATATCGTTCTCATGAGGATAGTGTTACTAAGTACCGATTTCTCTAGTTTAAATCCTAATTGAAGCAACAATAAATTGGATTGATGAAAAATTAACAACTAAATACAAATTAACAAAATATAAATGAATGATAATGAAATTAAAGCAAAACCCAACAAGTTAACTAATTAAACAATGCTAAAAAAATGTTAGTGTATTGATTTCACCTAGATACGGTAACCCAAATCATAGAATCTATTACCCAAGTTCTAATTCCTTGATTGAAAATCGAATTCCCTAAGTTGTTTGGTACTCCTTCTCAGGTTATACCACCCCACCTATTCCTATTAACCTTCCGAACCCAAAAATTGAAGTTTAATAGTTTAAGGTCTCTTAAGTTTTGAGGAACTCTATCTAGATTTCATAAATCGCGTTTATCTATCTCTATTTTTTGCTCAATCTATGGTATTTATCCCAAGAGACACAAATCACAAATCACTTCTCAGTTTCATTGTGAACAACATACATTTGAACGATGATCAAGCATCCAAAAGTCATTAAGCAAAGAGATAAACACTCAATCATGAAATTAAAACTCAAGGTAAATCAATTCATATAAATTTGAATTATTGTATCAAGGTTATATCAAACCCTAGCTAAACAACTCGGTTCACACCCAAAAACAAAATAAAATTACAAAAACAAACTGAATCAAGGTTCATCATTGAAAAACAAGCAAAAGATGGAGAAATCTTCTCTAATTTGAAGCCCAAATCTTCAATAATCTTCTCCTTCCATGAGCTGCCTCCCAAATCACGAACCAAGCCCCCTTTTCTCTTCCTCTTTTGCTCTAATTTATACCTCTCTCACTTAAGGACGAAGCCCTAGCAAGCCAAAACGCGTCGTTTTATTTTTCACATCTGACGCAATTTCGTTGTAGCAAATATTTTTTCTTGCCGCGGTGAGATCTTTCATGCCAAATTTGAGCATGCTAGAATCTGAATTTGGAAAAGTGGAAAACATTGAATTGTATCCCTTTAAATTATCTTTCTATGAGTTCAAGAATCAGCCCAATCAGAGGTCTACAGATCAAGTTATGGCCAAAATACTGAAGCATGTCCAAAGACGTTTTTCTTCAGTTCCCAACATACTGTTCACGACTTCAAGCCAAGTTTTCACCCTCTTTCATTCAGAATTAGGAAAAACCCAAAACATAAAAGTTGTAGCTCTGCTTCTCAGCTTTTCATAGCTTCTAACTTTAGGTCATTCCAAGTTTTCAAGCTCAAGTTATGCAATTTACACTCAAAACCATCATTTATGCTCAGAATCATCGTTTAGGCTTGCAAAGAAAAATTAATAGAATTAAGTAGAAATTATGGCCCAAATTATATGAGAAGTATCCTAAATCCTATTGAAATTCAATGCAAAATCGTAGGGAAAAATAGGATTATCAAAAACGGCCCACGATCGACCAGATCTAGCCAAATGGTCGGAAAGCCAGATCCATTCTGGCCATTAACAGCCAGATTTGTGGCCGTTTATAGCCATTGATCTGCTCGTTTTCTGCCAAATCCACCGCCATCTGGCCATTTTCGGCTTCCGATCTAGCCGAAAACAGCTAGATCGGTGTACTGTCGGTCAGATCCACCGCCATCTGGCCATTTTCGCCATTTCGACTACTGTTAACAGTGACCGATGGTGGTGGCTGACGGCCGATAGTTGTCTTGGGTGGTTGGGAGTATTTTGGGTATTATCTATGTAAATAGTGAGGGTATTTCTATTCCCAAAAATCAATAAATGAGGTTAAAGAAGTCATTTCACACATTTGGGCTAATTGTTATTTAGTAGACATATGAGGGCATTTGTATCCAAAATGTTTATTAATTAAGGGTAAAATTGGTATGAATAGTTTATTACCCCGGTAATAAAAATAACACACTTTCAGACAGTAATCAAACTACCCCTTGTATTACCTATAGTAACCACTATTGGTATTAGTTGACTACCAGAATCTTTGATTACTTGATAGTCAAACATGATAATTACCAAATTAAAAGATAGATTACCGGTGTTATCTTTTATGACCCTAAACCAACGTTCACTGTTAGTTTTAAAAATTAGCACTAACCACCCTTGCCATCCATGTACACTAAAAAAATTTGCTTGTAAAAGCACAATTGTTAGACATAGAATGACTATATTATCCTCACAATTTACCTATCACTACAAAGTTATTTTCTCCACACTTCTTTTTGGGTCTAGCAAGAGAAAATTCACAATGGACATGATCTCTATCATATTTATAGATAACACAATCATATAATACAACTTACTAAATCTAATATAAAATTTCTAAATCTTTTCAAAGGGTAGAAGTAGAACGATATGAATAAAACTCTAATTTTTCTTTTCTTTACAGAGATAGGGTAGGTTTTGCAGGTATTTACCTTTCCCTCCCTTGGTTTGGGGTATAATTTTCCTCATCTCCTCTCCCAACCTTGAATTTTTCTGGGCCCGATAGAATCGAGTTTTTCTAAGTATCCAACTCCATTGATTTTTTATTATCATCTCTAGATGCTATTTGGCCAGTAGCAATATGGAGTGTTGTGTGGTCAATCTGGTGAGGATAATTCCTTATTAGGAGAGAAGATATTTAGATTGGCTCAATTTGGAAGGAAGATATTCAGATTGACTTAGATTCCAACTAAGGTAGCCGAAGATCATGCAACTTCCTAATCCTACGTATTTGAATCTTATCTCACCTCTATCATGTAAATGGGTGCTATATAAACCCATCATAACTTATTTTCAAGGGGGTTGGGCAATTTTTCTAAGCAATTTTTCCTAGGAATTATACTATTCTTTGTAAGCTCTAAAAAACAATAAGATAACAATGGACGTAGGCTCAAATTCTAACTTGCCGAACCATTTTAAAAATCTCTCTACCATTTACTTTATTGCATTTATTATGCATCAACTGCTGGTTATCTGTAATCCCGTGCACATTCATTCTGGTTCCGACAGGGTCAATCGAAATTCTCTGGTTGGTACAGATTTCTGTATCAACATTTTGGCACTAGAAGGAGGGCCTGATTCACAGCAGCTCTCCATGTTTTTCCCTCAAGTCTCAACTTCTTCAACAAATCCCAACTTCTTGATCTAGAATCATGTCTTCAAATGTGAAAATCTAAGCAGGATAAAGCCTGAATCTGGCTAAGTGGTAAACACAAGAATTGTAGCCCTTCGAGTTAGCTTTCTAACGGTCTAAGAATCATCCAACTATGAGGTCTACAGCTCAAGTTATCATTAAAATACTAAAGCCTATTTCAAATCAAAGTTCTCAGATTGCATGGTCAGATCGCTTAGATTGTGCGCTTAGATCACTCTGATCTTCAGCTTCAAATCACGTGGCCAGATCACGTGCTTAAATCTCTTAGATTAGAAAGAGCTCGCTAGCTCTCTAGCTCTTAAGCTCTTCAAGCTTTCTGATTGAGCAATGCTCTCAGATCAAGCTCTCCATACTTTCTGATCAAGCTATGCTCTCAAATCAAACTCTCCATGCTTTCTGATTGAGCAATGCTCTCAAATCAAGCTCTCTAAGCTTTCTAATCGAGCAATGCTCTCAGATCAAGCTCTCCATGCTTTCTGATCGAGCCATGCTCTCAGATCAAGCTTTCCATACTTACTGATCGAGTTATGCTCTCAAATCAAGCTCTCCGCTCTTTCTAATCGAGCAATGCTCTCAGATCAAGCTCTCCACTCTTTCTAATCGAGCAATGCTCTCAAATCAAGCTTTCCACACTTTTTGATCGAGCTATGCTATCAGATCAAATTTTCCACGCTTTCTGATCAAGTTATGCTCTCAAATCAAACTTTCCACGCTTTCTGATCAAGCTATGCTCTCAAATC